CAAATTTGCTCGTTGAACTTGAACCAGCTTCAAGTTCGAGATGAAGAAAGTAAGTGACTAGGACTCTCACTGAGGACTACTGCTCTTCAGAAAATCTCTGTACGTCGACATTATTTCCAAGAGGAAAATTAACTTTGGCTCGAAGGGTGTTTACAGATAGTATCACAGTGCAACTCGAGCACGGCCTAGACATACATATCAATCCCTTGAGTACTACATAATCTAGCAGCCAAATGTGTCCGATTCAGTGTAAGTCCTCACCTGGAACCCAGCCCATTATTTGAAGAATACTCGATGTCAACGAAATATCACGCGAACGAACATCATTATAGAAAATGAATTCAACCTTCTCCTCGGTCTCATATTCATACAATGCCTACGAACGAACTACTTCCAACAAGACGCCATGACGAATGAGCCAAACGATACTAGTACAGACTGATAAGGAGCACTGAGTAGGGGTAAAAACTAGAGATAATATCGTATCGTAACCTGAAAGTCCATCCACGTACTATTACATCCGCTTCCGAGGTGAAACGACCTACATATTCACAGTTCACCTCCTAGTGAGCACCACAGACTGGTAGATGGCTACGCGTCAAGGAATTCCCTTGACATGTCAGCAAACGCTGCCGCACCGACGCCTTGGCTTCCAAGCTCCGCGACACATGCTGCCGTTTGGCGGTAGAGCATTTCGAGGGCAGGATGAGTGGGCTTGCCTTGTGATTCTGCATGCAATACGTCAGATTTTCACCTAAAAGAAGGCATCTGAGGAAACGTACCAAGAATGGCTTGGTTTAGTTCGGTAGCCAACTTGTTTCGCGATTCCTGCCCAGCCATCTCGGCCACTTCACCTCCAGCAGCCAATGGGTCGGTGTAAGCCACGACTCCAAAGGTACGCCTCAAATGGTTCTTGATTTCTGGTCGAGTATCCGGCCTGTAGTCCCCGTCCAAAATTTGACCGTACCTCAATGCTTCATCTAGAGCTGCTTTAGCAACAGCTTTAGAAGAAGAACGGGTAGACGAGGAGGACGAGCTACGCGAAATGGGGTTTACATCGAGGGCGACCATGTGAGTAGTTTCATCGGTAGTTGCAGTGACAGAAGAAGAGACTTCGAGAGAAGGTGAATTGGACGAGTGTGAATGGGCCTCGGGCGATGGATCGTCCACTTCCATCGCGCCCCCATCATCCATCTGAGTTTCGTCAATCTCCTCATCCTGCTCGCTAGCAACAGGACGTCCTTTCTTGGTTGCCTCCCTTCCTCTCACAATTTCCTGGTTGCCCACATCGCCAGTGCTCGGGTTATCGTCGCTCGACTTGGCCTTTTTCAAGGCATCACTCGCTTCCAAGATCAATTCTATGAATTTGCGGCAACGAAGCTTGAATAACATCAAGCCCTGTTCACGTTCGAGAACAGATGGGTAATGGGTCTGGGTTTGTGTAAGTGCTTCATCAATGTCTCCGCCGAGTACCGCTTTCATGATGTGAACCCGAGTACGAAGTCCTTGCTCTTCACCGGTAATAGGCGGAGAAGGACTAGAAGGACCTTCATCGGTATCCATGTCATCTGCTTCGGCGGTTTCTGTTGGTTGAATGATTTGGGTAGCAGACCTGCGCTCACACTGTGCCTTGAAAGCATGAGCGGTCTTAAGGTAGCCGTGGTGAGCGAGATAATCGAATACTAATCTTTTCAGAGCTTCCTTTGACTCGACATCTTCGTCCACAGCTTTCTTCTGCTCAAAGGAGTTCTCTGGCTGAGCAATCCCACCACCTAGGACAGTCCAATTGGCAGGTACACTTTGAATCCCTGACCAGACCTGATCGCGAGCACAATGAACGTAATCCTCAATAGCAAACTTGAATGGGGCTTGACCAAAATTCGCTCTGACAGCTTCTTCAGCGTGACGTAGTCCGATGGAAGGATATACCTCGAGGTCGTTTCCTACGTTCTCAAAAACTAGACCTGTAATTGATATTGGCATTGGTCACTACGCTGGGGGTCCAAACAAATAGACATACCAAGGAAGTTCCCGTTCTTCGTATAGAACGCCTTATTTTGACTAAAGTCGATACCGCAGCCGATGATATCCCCAGCTACAAAGGAAGAAATCTCCATATGCAAACGGTATTCATAGAATGACGTGTACTCACTGTCAAAGGTAGGGCCGTACGGATTCCCGTCCTTATGTCCTGGGAATGACCAGCCGTCATCCGCATGGTATCCCCATGAATGTTTCTCCCATCCGGGAAGACGAGTAAGTTTAACGTCTGCCGAAGAGAATCTATACACATAATACATATTGCCAGTTAGAAGTGTGAGGGTATACTCGTGTCTATCAACTTACCCAATACTGATGTGCCTGTCACAAGTGTATTAGCCCAGTAAGTACAACTTGAATACGATAGAACTCACCCTTTGCCACCCTTGTGCAGAATTTCTACCTCGTAGTAGTAGATTCCACAGGCCGGAGGTATCGGCTCGTTTGCCCGGGCAGCAGCGGATTCTCTGTCTCCTGTACATGATGGACCTGTCCAGATCGTCCAGTAAAGACGTATCCCAGATAATCCAGAACAATATATACTGACCACAGAACCTGAGATCTCGTCCATCAGACGAGATCGCTAATGAAGTATGTCGGTCCATTTCACTCCACCGTGTTGGCAAAGGGAAATTCGCCTTCCCTCTCCATACATCCTTGCTTGATGACGCATGACTAATTCTGACAGGAGGAGGGGTGGTGGAAGTACTATCTTCGTCACTATCCATAGAGGGGCTCGTCATTCGTCCCATGTAAGGATAGGGAGCATAAGTGGTTGTAATTGTATTGGGCACATGAGCCAAGGGTGGGTCGGCTGATTGTACGGTCGTCGATACATTGGTACGTATGAGGTCTCTGAACGCTGAATGGTCGAGATAAGTGGGTCGCGGAAACGCCTGTGATGTTGAAAGTGAGGAAGCATTTCCGGTAGATGGTATGACATTGGTCGGTGGTGGTACTGATCGCACATTCACTACGGGTGTGCTCAGCGTGCTTGGGTGCCTGCTGGTTGAACTCTGTCGCCGGACCCGAGGAGGAGGCGAGCTAGGAAAGCAAGTCGGGTCAGAGGGAGTAGTAGTAGTCGGGGAGGTTGTTGCGCGAATGATCCTTGGCTCGAATGGTGGATGGTTAGCATTATTGTTGCCCACGATAGGTCGAGCGACGATCGAAGAGTAACTTCCGGGAGGAAATGATCCAGCCGGAGAGTTGACGATATTTGTCCGTCCTACGCTTGTTGACATCATTCCTCTGTCCGAGGTGCTATGAGTCAGGGGTCGTGTATTAGAGATGAGCCGTGGTCGACTAGCCACCATTGGGGCTGGGGGCATTGTGAAGGACATTGGAATAACTTGCTCGATGTTTCGTGCGGCGGGAATCGGAGTGCTAGCCGATCTGGATTGTCGGGCAGACATGATGTTGCGGCACGGTAGGTTGTTATAGACTATGCGACAATGAGGGAGTACGTAGGCTTAGCGTGCACAAATAGCGTACCTATTAGGTAGTGCGCCTCGCACGAAGGTAGTTACCCTCCACCTCGAAGACAAGTAGCGGTACGTATAGTTGTTGGTGGGAATAGGGCTTGTGAAATCTGTGGAGAATGCAAGTTATAAGTAAGAGAACGACTCGCACCATCACCGCATCCTGACGTACAATCGCCCTTTCCTCCACCAGTGAAGGTTAACGTTTGAACGCTAACGCCAGGTATTCGGTGCTTGTAAATGAATCCAAGCAATTACAGCTTAATGGTGGCAGTATATCGCCTAATAGATGAAGAGGTTGGTATACTCGTGAAACGAAAGCAAAAGGTCGTTGCCCTGAGAGGTACACGGCTGTGTTCGTGAGTGGGGAATGTTCCGGGATGATGGTGGTCGAAGGAGGAAGAACTGCGCCGCCCTGGGTCGTCTGACCCGGAAAGGGCAGCAGTCACCTTGTGACTTGACCATCATCTTCCATGTTCTCATGTGTCCCGCTACAATTCAATCACTCTTTCTTCTGTATTAGCTGCCGTCAAACTCTGGCAGACTCCTTATGGGAGTTGGACTGCTATACGACGCGTACTGCGTGCTCAGAACTCGACGACTGCCGTGATCCCAGTCTCACTCACGTCCTGAATGGTCCAGTTTCGGCCGAGACACGAAGCGACACATTCGATCTCCCACAGTTCAAAGTTCAAATACACAACATAACGGATATCTGGTCTCCCTGGGATAATAGAAGGCGCATATATGTGCTCCGTTCCGTCGGTTTCAACAAGCCCCTGATGATCTCGAACAAGGCGCTGTCATACAGCCGGTAACTTTGGGCTGGAATTTCAACTTAAGGGTGCTCCTTCAGCTACCTAGGCACACTATCGAAGCTTCCTTGCTGCCGGGGATCATATTAAGTACAAGTTCAAAAGGCCTGTTGACCTAATCGCTTTCTAAGCCGAATGTTGTGTGTAGCTTTCATTCTGACACAGAATACATACACTTGTGATACACAGGTCGCACCCAAACAAGGTTTTCTTTCTCTAATATGGTGATGTCGACATAAAAATCGAGGCATCGTCTGCATTAACTGAACTGACCTTCGCCCCTGAAAGCTAAGAGGTCATCATGGTCTCCAGAAATCGACATATGCAATCTCTATGATGTCGTTAAACAAGGCTGTCACGAGTATAAGTACATCTATCACCCTCGCTACTGTGACTACTACACTGCTCATTTTCCTCGACTAATAGAAATTATAATCGTGGCTGGTCGTGCCTCTATATTAGGAAGCCGACTCTCTATAAAAGGCAATGCCTTCTACCTATATGAAGGACATGCTCTGATTACATCATTTTCTCGTCACGCTCTGAAGGCACTGACATCATCTTTTTGTTTGGTTTTGATACACTTTCCGCATTACCCCATGACAGATGAGTTCATCAATTGCTCACTCATTTCCTTCAAGTTGGGGCTATACAAGGACAAAAAGGCAGACCCCGCCGAGGATTGAACCCGGGACCCCACGATGACAGCATTGCAATCGTGTGCTCTAACCACTGAGCTACGCAGTCTTAGGGGCTAGGCGTTTTTACCAAATCGCCATTAATCAGCTTTGCACGACGTTGTACCGTTAAGTAGTATTTACTCCCATAAGTCCCAGTGCAAGACCCAATTTATCACGCTACCCGTTGTCAATCCCATGGACACGACTTATTTACGAAGCCAGGACTTGCTCCCAAGACCCTCGACTAAAGCCGTAGGCAGATTGTAGCGCGAGAATTACGTGTGGACATGTATGACGTTCTAGTGAGTCCATCAGACCTTGAACTACGCATAAGCTAACGGATTGACAATTCATTGTCAGAAGTCGGAACCAAGATAATTGGAAGCATGCACACACCTTCAGTTTCTTCCTCGGAGCGCTGAAACATCATGTGGACCGTCAACGCGTCATCGCTAACAAGGAATATCAGGCAGCTCTATGATATCAGAAAATGCTAAGACTGTCAACCGAGTAAAATGTAAGAATGTGTGAGTCGATTCAATCTGTGATTACCTTCTAGCTCAAGTTCCTTCTAGAAGTATGAGTTCTTGCATAGACGCTATGACATGGAACGGTCTTTCTGACGTGGTATAGAAGTCATAGCATTTAGCTAGAAACACGGCTTGGATGGGTTGGACGAGACACTGAATTCCCTAATTTAATCATGAAGAAAATCTGCCGTACAAGGCTCGCGTGATGATCCACCCATGATCACTCCCCAGACATGGACGTATGTGCAGCCCGGCAAATATGATACCAATGGTGAACGCTCAACCTCAGAAAGCATTCTTGATCGCTACATATTACCCCGCGCGTCATAAACGCTTGTTCCTCAAGAGCATGTACTCGTCCACGACACCTGTCGTAGATCAATGGTTTCGACAATAACTAGAAGAGTCTCTAACCAGCTTCTAGTTGATGCATGCGGCATTGGGAGGTGTATTTGTTTCCCATCTCGTGAGGTTTGAAGTATAAAAGCCCTCCTAGGTTCTCTTGCTTCATCCAGTGTTTACAGCTGTTCAACGCATTTCCTACTACGAACATGCAATTCACCCTCTCCAAGCTCTTCGCTGCCTTTGTTACCGTGGCCGCTGTTGCGAACGCCACCCCGGCTGCCCTCTCAGCAGCAGTACGTCTATTATTCGGTCTATTTAACGGTATCTATCTCAACGACGTTGATATCTTACAGGCTGTCGCTCGTCCTACTGCTGCGGTCGCTGCTTCGGCTGCAGTCCAAGCTGATGTACTCTTGGTTTGTTCTCAAACTCCAACCGATCTCATTATATAAATTAATATCTTCATACAGCGCAGGGCAGACCAAGCCGTTGTCGCTCAGGTCTGGACAGATGCCAACAAAGGTGGACAACAACGAAATATTGCTCCAGCTAGCCTTCCCATGGCTTGTGTAGATTTCGCGATTCCGTTCCAGGATAGCATTTCTTCCTTGTCCGTTCAAGATGGGGTCATGTGTACATTCTTCCGGTAGGAGCGGAATATTCGTCTCACAGCATCATTAGGCTTACAGAGTCTCTCGTTAGTGACTTCCGTTGCAACGGACCTTCGTTTTCTGCCAGGAACATATTCATTGCGAACTTGACCACTCCTTTCGACAATGAGATCTCTGCTGTCTCCTGCCAAGGTGGGTTTCTATACTTTCAAGTTAATCTCTCAATATTAACAACCTTCTAGCCGCTTAATAGCTCGAGCCTATTATTCCCTCTCTTTCCTTTCTACCGAGGTATTAGAATATCAATTTGCTGTGCCGTGACCAGATGGATGGACTTTTGCATGGTCATGTACAATATCGAATACTTCACATTATAAATAACCCAAATATTACCTGTTGATCAACACCTCTCTTGCTATAACAGTGTGTGTGACCTTAGCTTGGACGCCATGAACACAACGTAACGTTCGCTTGGTAATGTGGAATTGAACATCCCAGATAAGAGGCTAACTTCCATAACTGGAACAATCTCACTTTCCTTTTTCGTCACTTCTCCCGGTGGGGGTGAGTAATGTGGGTGCCACATCCATAACCACACGCATCAACTCGGTCAGGCGATTGTGCGTTGATTATAACCTTACTAATACTAATCATAGCACGAGTTCTGTACGGTCTGTGTATATAAAGTCATTGTTGTTATCTTGAGACGACTTGGCTCCCTCTACTAGTAAACCATCACGCTCGCCTCTACCATTTGCTCGTTGAGTAATCATGGCAATGTTAACTTCTTCGTATTGGCTGCATTGGTACTCTGGGCAGTTAGTAGAGTATTTCGTCAGATACTCTCTCCATCTGCTCTGGATAACATACCGGGTCCGCCAAGTTATTCATTTTTGAAAGGTGAGAGCATCGAGATATGGGTCAAATCGCAGGGATATTGATTTCATAATTTTAGGAAACATTACGAGGCTGTTCGATCGTCACGGCTGGGATTTCTTGGACGAGCTAGGAGAGAAATATGGTCCTGTGGTAAGGCTGACAGGCCCTCTTGGAGTAAATCAAGCTCTTTTCACGACAGATATACTCGCTAACGTTTGAATGAGTAACCCAGCGCAAAATACTGTTCGTTTTTGACCCAAAGGCCCTACAACACATCGTTGTAAAGGATCAATATACTTACGATCAGGCAGGCTTCACAGCCAAGTAAGCAGTGCTTCGTGACAAATGGGCTTGCAACGCTGATACGGTGCAGGTCTTTCCAGGCAGTTATTGGAACCACTTTATTGAGCACGACTGGTAAGGTACATCCCCAATTATCCACGGTGCGATTAACAATGGTCAAATATTAGGTGAACACCATAGGCAACAACGCAAAATGTTGAATCCTGCCTTTTCTATCGCCCATATGAAGCAGATGATGCCGATTTTTTATCCTATTGTTCACACTGTATGTCCCCTTTCAAATGATAAGTAGTCACATCAGACGCAGATACTCACTGCAATGAACACAGCTCCGAGATGCCATGAAGAAGAAACTGGAAGAGGGGTCCGATGAAATAGACATCCTAGGCTGGATGCATCGGTGCGCTCTAGAGCTTGTCGGTCAAGGTGGCCTCGGATACTCGTTCGATCCTCTAATGGAGGAACGTCATGATGAGTATGGAGCCGCTCTGAAGGAATTTATGTCAGTATCAACGTTTCGGGACGAGGTTCTCAGGAAACTGACTTGCTTTAATAGACCAGCTATGTTTTCTCTATCGATGGCCCGGCTAATTTGGTATAAATTTCAACCGTTGCTCGAGTTTGTACCTGCATCATGGCAACGTTGGGTCGTGGATCGTATCCCTTCTAAACGAATTCAGCGTATCAAAAACGTCAGCGATACGATCACGCGTAATGCAAGTGCCGTGTTGAAGATGAAGAAAGATGCATTCAAGGCCGGAGAGGAAACTGTTGTAAAGCAGGTTGGAGAGGGGAAAGATATTCTGAGTCTTCTGCGTACGTGCGATTCTCTATTACTATAAACTTGTAGGGCCAACTTTCATGTAGTACGTGCGAACATGGAGGCCCCTGAAGGCGAACGCATTCCGGACGATGAATTATTGTCTCAGATGTCGTAAGTATATCTTCCAATTATACTGAATACGCTTCACTTACTCGAGCTCCTGTCGTCAGGTTTTTGGTCCTCGCAGCTACAGATACGACTTCAAGTTCCTTGACTCAAATCATCGAGTTGCTTGCATTGCATCCCGAGGTCCAAGAAAAGCTGCGCACCGAAATAAAGAACGCTTGCCAGGATTCAGAGGGAGACATACCATACGATAAGCTCGTTTCCCTCCCGTATATGGATGCCGTCTGCCGAGAGTCTTTGAGATTGTAAGCCTAATATTCTCTTCAGATGGAAATGTACTCACTGTAATCTTGGTATCTAGGTACCCTCCATTCAGCTTCATTAACCGAGAGTGGGTTTTCATGTATGCACTGTACATCGGCTATACCCGCTCACCATCATATAGGACTCAGAAAGATATTGTTATGCCCCTCTCACAACCTATGAGAGGAGTCAATGGGAACTACTTACAAGAGATTCTGGTGCCGAAGGATACAGCCGTTCTCATCGCAATCAGAGCGAGCAACCGTCATAGGGACCTATGGGGCGACGATGCCAATGAGTGGAGACCTGAGAGGTGGCTCTCTCCCTTACCGAAGGCGGTTGAGGATGCTCATATGCCGGGTGTCTACTCTAACCAGTAAGTATCCTTCAAAATACTGCGCATATAACCATCCTTACAATGTGCAAAGGATGACGTTTATGGGCGGCGGGAGATCTTGCATGTACGTAGACACCAAGCAATGAATGTGAAATTTACTGATATTTATTCACAGTGGTTTCAAATTTTCTCAGCTAGAAACAAGTTCGTCAGTCCATATTTTGAACTTTGGTTGAGAGCCACTAACCTATTGCTCGAACTTACAGAGGTGATCTTGAACATTCTACTTCAATCCTTCCGATTCTCTCCCTCGAAGAAATCTGGCGAGGTAAATTGGAATGTTGCTGCGGTCAGGTACCCAACACTCGGCAGGGACTCCACAAAAGCAGAACTCCCTCTGAAAGTCGAGGTACTATAGAATGCACAACATATTTCTTGCCGGATGCTGTACGAAATCGGAACATGTCATAGGTGAAATAGACTTGCAGATATGGAGATCCTTTCCTTTGAATTCAACAATTTGCGCAAAAAGGCAGCCCTGATGTCCTGATAGATACAAAGAGCTGAATCACAGAATGAAGATCGTGATCACGGACAAACGGCATCAAAGTATTCCAGAATCCAGAAATCATACAAGCTAGCGGTTAGAGTACAAAAATGGATGATAGTTTACATACGACGCTTTCTCTCCATGTCTGCATGAATACTCAAGGGTTGTTGAAGCTCGGAAGCTGTAAGGTTTGTTATTAGAGGCGAGACGTAGTAGCATTTAAGGTATTGGTACGTACTTGGCATCATAAAATCGGCGCATTCGAGGGCTTCGTCGCGACCCATGAGAACATCGAGGTGTATGTTGGATGTTGGATAGGC